GCAATAATCAGCAATATGCTTTCACACAAATAACTTTATTTTTGAATGTTTCAATATGCGTTGACACAAATGACTTGTTTGAATTTTTCATTGATACAACATGGCATTGAGTTGTTAGAAAAGAAATGCGTAGTAGAGACGTTATTGCTTGATGAATCGGCTTTTTGAACCGGTACAATGAGCCGATCTGTCCGAAAAGTACCGGTTCGCGGAAATGAATCACGCGATATCGCCTAGCTTGTCAGTGAACTACGGCTCTGTGTAGTAAATGCTGCTCCATCTGAAAGCAGGTGATGGAGATTTACTACTAATCACGGAACCGGCTTTACTGACGAGATGCGCATGACAATCGCATGCGATTAATTGCACAGCCCTACTGTACATACAATTGAACAACAAAATAAGAAATGCATGTTTTATTACTAATAAAATAAGATAATTTAATCGTAAATTTACAGAAGCTTCTTTTATTTAGTTAACTGGTTAAGAACAGTTGTATTTTTTGCTTTATTTGAAATACAAAATAATCTTTTGAAATGTTTTTCTTTCTAAAAAAATCAATTTATTAGACATTTATTTCTTGGATAAAGGATAAATTAAAAAGTACTGTTTATATGTAATTGAGTGACAAAAATAGAGGGATGTTTTATTACTATTAAAATAAATGGTAAGATAAATCTTAATTTCACAGAGGCTTTTTTTATGCTTGACAAAAGTTCTACCGGGTCAATTTTATTATTAACACGTTTATTGTTCATTTATATTAATATAGTCGCTTGCAATGTGGGCAGGGCCCGCGTGCGCTGCGGGGCCCCCCCGCGGCACGGTCCCCAGTGCGCCTGCACTGTCTGTAGTTACGCCACTGTCTCAAGGAACATGTTACCAATACGTACCTTCCATGCATTATCTGACTCCCCTCATATTGAGTGTGCGTCGGAGTTGATGAAATGTGCTGCATGTGTTTGCGATCTGGCAGAGGTGAAGGCTGTGCTGGAGGAATCTGAAGTAACCAGTGATTCTGCTCCAAACGTCACTGAAGAGCAGCAGCATAGCGTCTCCACGGAGGAGAACGAAACCTCACAGAAAATCAAGAAAAAGAAAAGAAAATTGGATGGCACAGGGGACTCAACATCTAGTAAGTATGAAATATTGCTGTGAATATGTTGTTTAATTAGTGGTTGGTCACTACGGGATTGTCATTGGCTAATATGTGTAACTGGAGAGGAGACTGCTATATATGCAATTTAATTATAGCATTTGAGATGTATGCACATACACTAAATAATGGATCTGGTCCTTTAGGTGTGAAAAAGGTCAAAAAGCAGGATGAAGTTAAAGAGACAACAGAAGAAGAGCAACAGAGGGATGAAAAACAGGAGGAGGAATGTGAAGAGGTGCTAGAGAATGGAAATGATGACAAAGAGGGTTCAGCTGAGGAGGATGATAGTGATGAAGATGGACCGCAGCTTCCTTCTGGTCTGACCGGTAAATATGGCACAAATTGCACAACCTGTAATCTGTTAAGCACAGTCTGCGATGAGTCATAATTTGAGCTTGGTTTAGTTTGTCTAGTTATCCACTCATTTCAGTGGGAAAAATGAGTGATGTCTAATCAATTTGGCTTTTTTTTTTTTTTGACCAATACATAAATAAAAAATGCTATATATATGTAATTCGGAGACAAAATTAGCGATGCATGTTTCATTACTAGTAAAATAAGTAGTATAGTAATGTAAATTCACTAAAGCTTCTTTTATTTAGTTAGCTGGTGAAAAAGTCTTTGCTTTGTTTTAAATGCAAAATAACCTTTTGTTTTTCTTTATAAAAATAAACAATTCAGTTTTTGACTAATGAAATAAAGAATACTGTACATTAGGGCTGTGCAATTAATCGCATGCGATTATATGTAATTGAGTGACAAAAATAGAGGGATGTTTTATTACTATTAAAATAAATGGTAAGATAAATCTTAATTTCACAGAGGCTTTTTTTTATTCAGTTGGCTGGTGAAGAAAAAACAATTCTGATTTTTAATAACAAGTTTATTGGACATTTATTAAATTTTTTCTCATAGACATGATTAGATAACTATGATTTGTTTTCCTCACTGGTGACTTTCTCAGGTGCATTTGAGGACAAGTCATTTGCATCTTTGGCAGAAGTGGTTAGTGAGAATACACTGAAGGGAGTGAAGGAAATGGATTTTGAAACCATGACTGAGATCCAGCACAAGACCATACGACCTCTGCTGGAAGGAAGGTGAGTTTGCGGTGCATCAGACATTGCAGGGTTTCAGTGGCACTGTAATCATCACATTTGTTGTATTAATGTTTGGAATGTGTGCTCATTCTTATCCAATAGAGACGTGTTGGCTGCAGCTAAAACAGGAAGCGGTAAAACTCTAGCTTTCCTGATTCCTGCCATAGAGCTTATCTACAAACTCAAATTTATGCCCAGAAATGGTGAGTGTATTGGCATTCTCTGATTGTTATAGTCCTATTCATAGCGGAGATGTCAGTCAAACCCGTAAGTATGACCTTAGAGGTGTGTCATGACTGTGGTGTGTGTGTGTGTGTGTGTGTCAGGGACTGGAGTGGTCATTTTGTCTCCCACTCGTGAGTTGGCCATGCAGACGTATGGTGTGCTGAAGGAGCTGATGACTCATCATGTGCACACGTACGGCCTCATCATGGGCGGCAGCAACCGTTCTGCTGAAGCCCAGAAACTCGCCAATGGAGTCAATATCCTGGTTGCTACACCTGGCAGACTTCTCGATCACCTGCAGGTATGGCCTTTTACAATCAACAGCTTTGCCACATGGGTCTGTGGAGTGTACCTGACCTCTTTTTCTTTCCACAGAACACACCCGGGTTCATGTTTAAGAACCTTCAGTGTCTGATCATTGACGAGGCTGACAGGATTCTGGAGGTTGGCTTTGAGGAAGAACTGAAGCAGATCATCAAACTTTTGCCTAGTAAGAGCCAATGACTAACCTGATCACTCTGACATCACTTCCTTAAACCAGGGTTCCTGCAGGTCCTTAACTGTTTCTCTTTCTTTCCAGAAAAAAGACAGACCATGTTATTTTCCGCAACACAGACACGTAAGGTGGAGGATCTTGCACGAATCTCTCTCAAGAAGGAGCCGCTGTATGTGGGGGTGGATGACAACAAAGACACGGCCACCGTGGAAGGACTAGAACAGGTAAACTGCTCACCTGTCCCACTGCTTTATCGGAAATAGCCACAAAAGCTGGCATGCCGTTAAACACAAACAAACAAACTCACTCCTTTATCAGTACCAGTTTGTCATGTGTAATATCATATTTGAGTTTTGGTTTGTGTTGTATTTAGGGATATGTTGTATGTCCTTCGGAAAAACGCTTCCTGCTGCTCTTCACGTTTCTGAAGAAGAACCGTAAGAAGAAGCTGATGGTGTTCTTCTCGTCTTGCATGTCTGTGAAGTACCACTATGAGCTGCTCAATTACATCGATCTGCCCGTCATGGCCATTCACGTGAGTCACTGAGCACACACTACACACACAGCGCGAGATGAGAAGTGCTATTTAAGCAGTGTGATGAATGCTTTTGTTTTCACGGGCTTTCAGGGGAAGCAGAAACAGACGAAGAGAACTACAACGTTTTTCCAGTTCTGTAACGCAGACTCTGGCATTCTCCTCTGTACGGATGTGGCTGCCAGAGGTCTCGATATCCCAGAAGTGGACTGGATTGTTCAGTACGACCCACCCGATGATCCAAAGGTACAGCAGTCACACCCCAAGTCCATTGTGCACATAATTCAGCCTTGCTGCTAGATATATGCACTTGTATTAGGATTTTTATATGTGATTTTTCTGTTTTTTCTGATGTTTTAGGAGTACATCCACCGTGTGGGACGAACAGCTCGTGGTATTAATGGTAGAGGACATGCCCTCCTGATCCTAAGACCAGAGGAGCTCGGCTTTTTACGATTCCTCAAACAGGCCAAAGTATTACATCACTATAGTTATGATTTTATATTGGCAAGCTGTTGAACATGTCAAGATTAATTGTCTCTCTTGCGTTCCTCTAAAGGTCCCTCTGAGTGAGTTTGAGTTCTCCTGGGCTAAAATCTCTGATATTCAATCTCAGGTGAGACTTCATATTCAGTCAAACTGAACTAAATGTCAAACATAACCCCTTTAATTTCAAATTGGTATTTGCTTTGGTCTTTTGCAGTTGGAGAAGCTGATAGAGAAGAACTACTACCTTCACAAATCGGCTCAGGAGGCCTACAAATCCTACGTCAGAGCTTACGACTCTCATTCCCTCAAACAAATCTATAATGTAGAGACGCTAGACCTCCCGAAAGTGGCAATGTCCTTTGGGTTTAAAGTGCCGCCTTTTGTGGACCTCAGTATCCTTTCAGCATTGTATTACAGCGAATATTCTTGCATGTGGAGCTTGTTACTTAATAGTTTTAATTTGTTTTAGTGTGAAATTGTGGAGTTGTGGCTGTACATTCATTACCATTTGGAGTCTGTAATAGTCTCTTATGCTTACCAAGGCTGCATTTATTTAAACAAAAACACAGTAAAAACAGTAATATTGCGAAGTATAAAAATAAAAATAATTCTATTTTGTTTTAAAATGTAAATTTCAGCATCATTACTCCAGTCTTACTCTTCAGTTTCACGTGATCCTTCAGAAATCATTCTATTGTGCTGATTTGGTGCTTAAGAAACTTTTTTTTTTTTGTTCCTTAACCGTTCACTCTCTCAGACGTTCACAGCAGTAAAGGGGTGAAGATGCAGAAGCGAGGTGGTGGTGGAGGCTTTGGCTACCAGAAATCTAAGAATGTCCACAAGGCCAAGATCTTCAAACATGTCAGCAAAAGGAAAGGAGACGGCAGACAGTTCTCACGCTGAGAATAAGATGAATCTTCCCTGTGATGCACCTCTTTTGATCTATACAGAGTAACTGTCAGACTACACACTTGTCAATTTGTTAACTTGGTCTCAGTCTTTTGAGAAGAGCTCTGATCAGTCTGCATTCCATGCCTGTACAGAATTCTGTTTTCAGAAGCCGTTATATAATGCTTAATTTCTATTGTTACTGGCCCAACTCATTAAACTTATATTATGAATAATTCTTCTCATGCGGTCTGCTCTCTCCACATGAGATTGAACCTACAACCTTAGTAGCAACTAGGGCTGGACAATAAAATTTTTTACATTTTTAAAATTGCTCCTAGAGTGATTTGTTAAATTAAAATAAATATTGTAAAACGTAGTTAAAACTGTACACATTTTCCATACTGTTTCACCGAAAGAAAATATTGACTCATTTTTTATTCACCAATATAAAAATAAACCATGCTTACTTTCTTGCTAAAACATTTAAAAACCCTTAAAATGCTACACAAATATTTTTGTGATGCAAAAGGAATTGGCAGACCAATTGATAACCACTGAACTGAACTTCCCACATATTTTGGCATTTTAATGAGGTTTAAATCCTTATTGAAAACACTGTCTTGGAACTCTTACGCTCGTATGTCATGACACATGCACAAAGCCGGCCAACAGCATAGTCTATACAGGTCAAATAAAAAGCAGCACATTAACGTCACAATAGCCATGAGGTTGGTTCATTTTATATTAAATATTTTGTTAAATTTGTAAATATTATATATTGTCCAGTCCTAGTAGCCATAGGCTACCATCTTTAAAATGTGCAGAATTGCAAATCTCAGTTGTAATGTTATTTACAGGTCAAGGCAATCTATGAACTGAAGCGCCAGTAAGATGCCAGCTTGTTTCTACTATGATTGTATCATATGTCTTCGCTAGTCTGAAACCACTATAGTAAATAAATCTGTCAGATCAGCAGGTAGTTCATTTTTCCTTTAATATGCTTTGGTCTTATGGCAAATTTTTATCATCATGATATAAAAACCAAGGTGATTAGTAAGGGAATTTGTGTTATATACATTATGGGTTTAAATAAGGTGGCAACAAGGCACAAAACATTTCCAGTTAAACAGTACATTTGTTACATGCCTTTATAGTCTCTGAACCTAAAACAATCTAGGCTGACATAAACATACTGAATAGCAGTGTTTTAGTCTGAAAGCAGATGTGATCTCAGCATGAGGCTGTAATGCAATGAAATACCAACATCAGGGAATGCGAGTGTGTTTTGAAGTGCTACTTGGGAGTTGTGTATTAAAGGGGTGTGTGTGCAAATCCAGCTGTTATGACGCTCCCTTTGCCCTCAGTTTAGATAACAGCATCTCATTCTTGCGGCACTCCTGGAACAGACAAGACATGCATTTGTTTCCTCAATCCAGAATATCAATTATCAATAGATTAATGTCTATACACCCTATGTAAAGGAGGAGGGAAGTAATTAATCTAAAACTATGAACTTGTGTGAGCATTTACCTCTTTAAAGTCTTTGACAGTTTTAAAGTAGAGCCTCTGTTTATCCAGCAGCTCCAAGTACTCATCATTCAGCTGATCTCTACGCATCTTATTCTCCTGTCTTTTCTTTTCCATCTTTAAGTGCACAAATAGACATTAGAAAAACACACTAATGCAATTCATGTTCCTGTCTGAGGGGGTAAAACCACAAATAGCCAGAGTGGACCTAATTCATTAGCAAAATGGAAGTAATTATCAATAGTATCAGATTTCTTCTATTATATGATATGTGACCCTGGACCACAAAACCAATCATAAGGGTCAATTTTTTTAAATTGAGATTTATACATCATCTCAAAGCTGAATAAATAAGCTTTCCATTGATGTATGGTTTGTTATGATAGGACAATATTTGGCCGAGACAACTATTTGGAAATCTGGAATCTGAGGGTGCAAAAAAATCTAAATAATAAGAAAATCACCTTTAAAGTTGTCCAAATGAAGTTCTTAGCAATGCATATTACTAATCAAAAATTAAGTTTTTATATATTTACAGTAGGAAATGTACAAAATATCTTCATGGAACATGATCTTTACTTAATATCCTAATGATTTTTGGCATAAAAGAAAAATCAATAATTTTGACCCATACAATGTATTTTTGGCTATTGCTACAAATATACCCCAGCGACTTAAGAGACAAGTTTTGTGGTCCAGGGTCACATATAAGGTTGTAGTCTGGTTTTGTACCTTCATGCGGCTCTGCTTGATTCCTTCCACAATCTGCTCCATTTGTCTGAGAAACTGTTCTTTACTTCCCGATGAAGCCATGGCCCTAAAACCACACACACTTTACATTCACCTGTGCCTTCAGGAAAGACATTACAAAATCAATCATTTGAGACTGTATGAAGCTCTTGCTGTAATATTGGGAAATTTCTACATGGATCCTATTTGAAACTCACTGCTGAAAATGATCGTGTATGGAGTTCAGCAGATTGACCTGTGAAAGAAAAGATAGTGTCTCATTTCCACTGCACATCCTTTTAAACATTACACACTGACAGATTATAGAGTCTGATTCCATCCATAAATACAAGAAAATTCATTCCCAATAGCAAAGCTAAACTAATCTGATACCTCTTTCTCCAGGTAAACCTTCTTGTCATCAAGGGTGTTGTAGAGCGTGAAGAACTGTTTTGTCTCTTTGTGTGTTGCAGACACTGAAAAACACCAAATGAACAATTAAAGAGTGCTTAAAGTGACGGCTTTGATTTCAGCTCATTCAATTGGACCTATTTCATAGCCAACACCTTAAAGTTGTTAAGTAATAGAAGCAGTGAGTGATCTTTTCTTTTGTATTGTGACATACATCAGAGTAAAACAGATCATTGAGAAAGAAAATAATGTAAAGCAGGGTCTTTGTTCAATTTATCGGTTGAAGGCAGATCTGATTGTGAGCTTGAGGTCAATTGTACGAAAGGGGAGATTAAGCAGACTTAAAGACTGCAGAAGTCTGGCATATATCACCAGAGTGAAGTCTGCCGTTTCACCGGAAGATCAAGTTATAATTAAAAATGATGAGGTAAAAAAAAAAAAAAAGTAAAAAATTAAACATGCATTTAAAAAAAATAGATGCTGACTTTATACACGCACGGACCTTGGCTGTACAGCTCAATGAAGCGTTTCTGATACTGGGTCAGCTCGGCTCTGCTGGGAACCTCGTCAATCTTTCTCTGAAGGATGGCAATCTCACGGTTCCTCCGAGCCTGCGGGGGGCAGCAGAGTAAAACTGAGTATAAAGAATCTCTTGAGTAATATGCTGAGTAAAACCATCAGTTCAATTTGACCTACCATAAGCAGACGGATCTTCTGAAGTTTTTCTCGGTCTGCAGTGTACTGCTGGTCAATCAATATATTCATCTCCTACAAATACACATGCAGAGGGTAAATCTGAGAAACTAAACTAGACCATCACAGACTAGCTCTGTTCCAAAACCTTGGCAAATTCCCATTAAGAGGATTGTTTCAAAAGGTAGGCTACCTTCTAAGACATCTACTTTTGGTCAAATTACTAAGGAAGCACTGGGAACAAGAAATAAGGCAATGGAAAGGGTTAAAAAAAAAAAAAATTGTGTCAAAGATAGTGGACAATGTGAGGTATTGCCTGAAAAAGCTGTATCTAATTAATCTTTTTGGGTTTTTGTCTAATATTTTTTGTATTCTATGTACTTTTATGCTTATTATTCCATTAGCATAATGGCATCCTAATACCAAAAAGTGTTGCTGCCTATGAAGAGCATTCCAAATCAGTCACATATGAGGTTCCATTTCAGTTAGAATGACTATATAGGCACCTTCTTCTCATCTCCTTCTCCATACTCCAGCTTCAACTCTTCAATATTCTGCTGCAGACGGGTCATTTCCTCCTATACACAAATAACCGTTAATGATACATTCATGTGTTCAGTGTTACTGACAAACCGAAGCAAGGTATTGCAACAACAAAGTTGTCTCAGTAACATACGCGACAATGTGAGCGGAACGTTTGCTCTTGATGTTTGAGGTTTTCATTCATGGCCACCAACGCACGAAGCTTCTCCAGTAACCTGAAAGATAAAAACAAACAATACTTCAAAATAACACATGGATACTGACACTTTCTAAGAATTCTCATGCTGTTTGGCTTTACTTTTTCTCATCTGATTTCTATACAGTTTGGTGTTAGCGTGATGCTAAGCTGATGGCACTATGCTCTAATAAGCATAACATACACAAGCAAATAGTCCATTTCTAATTAGACAGAACTATGTAACTATTTTTACTGTTGTTCTGTGAACTTAACAGAAGAAATGCAGTCATTTCAATAGGAATCCATGCAATCAGGAATTTTGTGTGTGAGGGCGAAAGTGAGGTTTAGTTGTTCATACGAATTTGCAACACTGACCAACAGAAAGTGACTTCTGTGTGAGCGAGCGGTGCTTCATACATTCGCTACACTACTGTAGCAGACCTTTGAAGTGGATGTTTTTTGCCCACAAAATTTTTACTAATGTGGCCATGCCTTTAGAATTTGGCCAGAACATGGTATCTTACCTACCATTTGGAAGTGCCTTCATGTCAGGAATGTTTAAAATGCTGTCTAACTAGAGAGCTCACTGAGTTTAGAATTAAGTGTCTTGTCTAAAATGACTTGGAAAAATATGGCTGCCTTCAATTACGCATACTTCCCTACTATATAGCAGGAAGTAAGTACTTATTCAAAAGAGGAACCTACTCAGAGAGTAAGCGATTTCAGATGCAGCCTAAGTTTAAATAATTCCAGGTGCTCTGTTTACATACCCAGAATCCACATTTTCATTTTTGGGCAAAATATTCTTTTAGAGGGACACTCTAGCTAAAAGTGTAAATTTTGTCATCGTTTACTCATCCACATGTCGTTCCATCACTTTATTTACCATTTTGCGGAACACAAAAAAAAAGGCATACTTCCCTACTATATA